CAAAAAGAAAATCAGGCTTCAAAATGACTTCATGTTTCTATTTGTGTCTAACTGGATAATTTTCTGTGAACAGTTCCCAGTAAGCCCACTGTGACCCTGCAGCCATCCTGGCCTCAGATATACAGCGGTGAGACAGTCACTGTCAGATGTGAGATTCAGGGAGGTGAAGGAGCTCAGTGGACGTATGAATGGAGAGCAGCCAAGTTAAACACACCTCCAACATCCAATGAATACAGAATCATCAGAGCTACTGAGTCTGACAGTGGAGGATACAGCTGCCGGGGCAGGAGGGACTATTTCTTCTCAGGGTGGAGTGATATCATCACACTGACTGTATCATGTAAGATCTTTCATCCAGATTATTTCAAATTACTTATTGTGTTAATCTAACCTTTAATTGGGAAAATGAGTCATCTGCCTATTAAATAAAATCACAAATCAGATGTTAATTTATTAATTTTTTATTCCAGTAACTTTCAAACATGATAACAGACAGTTTGTGTTTATATTACAAAACTGATCATTTAACCATTTGTGGACAGGCTGCAGTCTTCAGTGTCCATGAACAGCATCAACATGCTGGTTCAGACGTTTCTTCTCAGGGTCGAAATTATTTATTTTCTTCTTGTATAAAAATATTTTTAATGTTAGTTTTAATCCAAAATTAATGGTTAAAAACATGTAACACATATAAACATTATAGAAAAAGCAAGTGAATGTTTCAGTTCAACAAGCGCTCCAGTCAGACATTAAACTTCAGTAACACTGTGCAGTTATGAAACTTTAATCTGAGTCAAACTGATTTAATCAGCATTAAATAAATCAATGAAATAAACATCACCCCACAGATACAACCCCAGTGAATTATGTCCAGTGTTCACTCAGTGTGGGTGTTAAACTGTGTGACTGGAGTCGTGCTTTGTGGCATCGAGAGCTCAAAACACTCCGTCAGCAACAAACTGACCATGGATTAAAAAAGTACACTTGGTGAGAGACAAACAGGGTATTTTAAAACTTTACTTATACTCGATAGCACTATAATTACTGTTTGTGAATTGAAATGCATTCTGGGATACCTGGCTGCCTCACGTCCACAGTACCACCAGTTCATCGCAGTCAATTTTCTAGTATCGATCTGTGCTGACTTACTCTACATGGTAACCAATCAGATGTTAGACAAGCTGCAGTGGCAGCGTTAAACAAGACCCTCCACAGGTTGATCACATTTTGGCAAGTTTGGTCTCATGAGGAACACAAACTCCATCTTTAGCTGAATTAAACTCAAAGGACTCCTGTGTGGTTTTATTTTATTGGAGACTTCATTGGAGTCTGTCAGCCTCTCTGATTGTTGAGTTTTCCTCTGTAAATAAGGTGTTTACATTATTCAAAATTACATCATAGAAAACTACATGAACTTGATGTTGGAACCATGTCAGCGATGGTCACGGTGCTCGAACAATAACAGACACCATTCAGTGTAGTGTGACTTTAGACTATTATTAAAGGGAAATGTAGAGAGGACACAAACAAACTGACCATGGATTAAACATGGATAAAGTACTTTGTATTTGTGACATTTGTCTTTGAATAGATGAAGAATAAATCAGAGGGAATCTGTAGTGTAGTTGTGCATGAAGACAGTCTAATGTGTCACATGCAGGTAAATGTTTTCTGTTTGGTGCTAGAAGCTAAATGACTGAGTGAATGTGTAAAGTTTGATCATTACTATTAAGCACTTACTGAAAAAAACAACAAATTGCATATTTCTAAAATGATTCTTGAATTTTTTTACTTTCTCTTTAAAATCTTTATTTATTGTAACAAAGTTTTTCCTGAAGCAACTGACAGTCTGATGTTTGTCTTTCCTGTAACATCAACAGCAAGTAAACCCAGAGCCACACTGACAGCACAAAGTTCAGTCATGCCAGCAGGGGGCAGTGTGACACTGAGCTGCTCTGTGGAGGGCTCTGCTGGCTGGAAGTTTGACTGGTTCAGACGTGATTCAGTCTCTTCTAAAGCTCAGCTCATGAGAGGAAATGAAGCAAACAGAGTTATTAGTGTCTCACAAGGAGGTCTGTACCACTGCAGAGGAGGGAGAGGAGATCCAGTTTACTACACAGAGGACAGCAGTGATGTCACAGTTACAGAAACTTGTGAGATTAATTATTTCATTTCTACCAGACTAAGAGGTCATAATATGTTCTGTGCTAAGAACTTTATTCAACAACTGCAAGTTTATTAACCCTTAAATAGGGAAAGTCTTTAGTTTTCCGTTCATCAAGATTACTTGGAGAGGCGAGAAATGGAAAAATAGAAAACATTTCTCGGCCTTATTTTTGATCTTTATGTTTCTTTTTGTCTCTAACTTTTTCACTTCATTACTTAAATCACGCTGCTGTTATTGTGTATATATTTATTTATATTTCTTCATACATTCTTATATAGTTCTATATTGTGTATTTTGTTGTACAGTTATTTTATTGTCAACTTTAATTTATATATTTTATCTTATTCTTTCCCAGTTAAATTTACCCTTCATTCTAATTTGTGTTGTACAGTTATCTCCTTTTTAACCTTAATTTATATCTTATTCCTTCCTAGTAAAATTTACCCTTTTTAATTTTTCATATTTATTTCCTATCTTATTCATAGCTTTTTCCTTTTTTGTGTTCTTTAGGTCACGAGCAGTTGTCCAAGCATTTCACTGCATATCGTACTGTGTATGACTGTGTACGTGACAAATAAAATTTGAATTTGAATTTGAATTTAACTGGATATTTTTCTGTGAACAGTTCCCAGTAAGCCCACTGTGACCCTGCAGCCATCCTGGACTCAGATATACAGCGGTGAGACAGTCACTGTCAGATGTGAGATTCAGGGAGGTGAAGGAGCTCAGTGGACGTATGAATGGAGAGCAGCCAAGTTAAACACACCTCCAACATCCAATGAATACAGAATCATCAGAGCTACTGAGTCTGACAGTGGAGGATACAGCTGCCGGGGCAGAAGGGACTATTTCTTCTCAGAGTGGAGTGATATCATCACACTGACTGTGTCATGTAAGATCTTTCATCCAGAGTATCTAAATAAGGAAAAAGCACTTCTTCTTTCTTACAGCTTTATAACTGTCTTTCATGTTGGTCAGTAAAATGTTTAGTTTTTATTCCAACAACAAAAACCTGAACAGCAGCTTTTTATTCACAGTGAAGAGAACAAAACATATGAGAGTAACTTCTCTGCTGTGCAGCTCTAATACATGAAAGATGAAATGCAGAACAAATGCTGGATCTGTCTCAGCTGCTCCACCACATCCACTAAGAAACATTAAATCCACTGATTGTTCCTCATGTGTGTTTTTAACTTAGAAATGCAGCCAGTTAAATATGAAAGATTAGTGTTGTGTTTGTGTGATAGTTGTACAGTTTGTTGCAGCTTCACCATTAAAGTTATGTGATATTTATTATTGACATATTTCCACCAAGTTATTTCAACTGGTTTGATTCAGTCATTGACTTTTGTTCTTTTTCTAAACTGAACTGCAGATAAACCAAAGGCCAAACTGAGAGCTGATAACACAGCTGTTCCAGTAGGGGGAAGTGTGACCCTGACCTGCTCTGTGAACCCATCATCATCATCTGGATGGAAATACTACTGGTACAGAGATGAGAAATCCTCTGAAGCCCTGACCACACAAGATGCAGTTTTCCACTCAAATGGACAAATCAGTGTCTCACAGGAAGGACTCTACAGGTGCAGAGGAGGAAGAGGAAACCCAGTTTACTACACAGAGGACAGCCAGTCAGTCAGGATTGGGAAAACTGGTGAGTTCAAAGTTAACAAACCAAAAATCACTACATTTGATGGAAATTGACCCATTTTGTCATTCATTTGTTCATTTCCTGAATACAGTGTCAAACAGACCTGTTGTGACTCTGTATCCAAACTGGTCTGAGATATACAGAGGAGAGACGATCACTGTCAGATGTGAGATCCATGGAGGAGACACTGAGTGGGATTATGAGTGGGAAACAAACAGCATGATAAAAGCTCCAAATCAAAATGAATACAGGATTAGATCTGCTTCATCATCCAACAGTGGAAACTATCGCTGTAAGGGCAGAATGAAAAGTTCACAGCATGAAACAACAGAGTGGAGTGATTCAGTCACACTGACAGTTTCTGACAGTAAGTAGAGTCATAGTTCATTTAACCTGGAAATAGAAACAGTTTGTAAAAATGTGTTTTTATTAGTACATGTTGAGATATTTGACATGTTTAGATAGTCTCACTCTTAAAGTTCATCATAAATATTGTGAGTCAACATTTTAGTGACATTGAATTCAGAGTTAAGAGACGAAAGATTGAGAGAAAATCTTTGTTGAACAGATGAACCCCGTCCTGTCCTCACTGTGTCTCCATCATGGCTGAGTCCTGGAGCCTCAGTAACTCTGAACTGTGAGGTTGAACATCCGTCTGCAGGATGGAGCTTCTACTGGTATAAAGCTGTTCCTGATCTATCAGAGAAATCCTCCAGTTATGAGCTGCTACCTGATGGCAGTGGGACTGCACAGGACTCCTACATCACTCATGGACAGACACACACAGCAGGATATGTGTGCAGAGCTGGAAGAGGAGACCCAGAGTATCACACTGATCACAGTCAACCAAAGTTTGTCTGGTCTGCAGGTCAGTGTGATTCTGTCTAATAAGTTGTCCCATCACTGTAAACCACCAAGATTCAGCTCATCATTTTTTTTTCTAATATTAATTTGATATTTTGAATCCTAACATCTGTGAGCTTTGTCTCTTCCCTGCATGTTGTTTCCAGATGTTCATTCAGCAGCGTCTCTCACAGTGAGTCCTGACAGAGTGCAACACTTCACCTCTGACTCTGTCTCACTGACCTGTGAGGGAAACTTCCCTGAGTGGAGAGTGAGGAAGTTCTCTGAGGACGGCCGACTCTCTGACTGTAGGAGAATGACTGGATCCACATGTGACATCAACACATCAGAGTCAGATACTGCAGTGTACTGGTGTGAGTCTGGATCAGGAGAGTTCAGCAGTGCAGTCAACATCACTGTACAGAGTATGTTATTATACATTTACTTCTTGGATTTGGATGATTTAGATGTCACATGAACATTTGTCCCAGCTTTGCTGTATGTGTGTAATTTATCTGGAGAAATAGCGTTTTTTTAAATACACAAGATCAGATCTTCATGATGAAAAGCATTTGTACAATCTGTTCTTATTATTGTTTGTCAGCTTTTTCTAAAAGTGTTCACCAGCTGATGTGACTGAAACAATTGTGTGTGATTGTGTCACAGATGATGGTAATGGTCCTATCCTGGTGAGTCCTGTTCATCCTGTGACTGAGGGAGCTTCTGTTAGTCTGACCTGCAGTTTGAGAACACAAAAAATACTTTCCAATGTGTTTTTCTATTACAATGACAAACTTATTCAAAATGATCCCCGAGGGGAGCTGAAGATCTCTGCAGTGTCAAAGTCTGATGAAGGTTTCTACAAGTGTCAGTACTCAGGAAGAGAGTCAGCACAGAGCTGGATGTCAGTTAAAGGTGAGCAGGATCAAAAAATCTTTTATTTTTTTCTGTGATTTATAACAGATGAATTATTTATATTCACGTACCTCATGTACTGCAAATACGAGGTACATGTACATTGTTTCATCAGTAATGTTTAGCATCAGTTTTATTTCTTTATTGAAGTACTTTGTAAACTTCGTTCATCTTATTTTATTAAGTTAAATAATTTATTAAAAATTAGACATTCTCCTTTACAGTAGCTGTGTCCACACCTGAGAGCTCTTCATTTCCTCTTCTGATGATCTTTAGACTAATTCTTGGATTCATGTTTATTTTCCTTCCACTGTTGTTTTGCTGCAGACGGTCCAAAGGTGAGACCTTTTTTTGTTTTTTTATGTTTTTAAAAATTAAAATAAATAAAATTAGAAATTAATTACATTAGTATAAAAGCCATAACCATGTTTAAGCAAAAGTCTTTGTCAACTACGACCCTGAAAACACACACAGCCACAAGGTTGCAGCTGAGCAGCAGCCCTTTTATTAGCCACACACATTGTTGTTTCAGCTACCGAGGCACAGGAAGCAGACACTCCTTGGTGGCTTGCTGCTCACTTCCCTCCTTGCTCGTCACTGTCAACAACATAAAACAGAACCCAAAGTCAATTACCTGGCCAGGCACACCTGTTCCTTGCCCTGCCCCGCGAGCACACTACGTCACCCCTCCTATGCAGCAGGCCAGAGACCTGCTTCATGCGGTGGAGCCACTGCCGCAGGGCATGGCCTGAGCAGAGGGTGAATGGCCGTCCCAGGAGGTAGTAACGAAGGGAGTCGACCACCCACCAGATTGCCAGGCACTCCTCCACTGTGCTGTAGCGGGTCTCCCAGTCCGTGAGCTTCTGGCTGATGTAGAGAGTGGGACGGTCGACTCCCCTTACCTGCTGGGACAAAATGGCCCCCAGCCCTCTGTTCGAGGCATCTGTCTGCAGAATAAAAGGACACCCGCTGCACATGCTCCGCCCAGGTGTTGCTGTAGATGATAACACCATCCAGGTAGGCGGCAGCATATGCAGCGTGCAGCCACAGCACCCACTCCATAAGGTGCTGAAAGGCGGCGGGGGCTCCGAAAAAGCCAACCGAAGTGTGACAAATTGGTACAACCTGTACGGTGTGGAGAAGGCTGTTTTTCCTTAGACTCCACAGACAAGGGAATCTGCCAGTAGCCCTTGGCCAAATCCAGCGTCGTAAAACAACGAGCAGTGCCTAACCTTTCCAGGAGCTCGTCGACCCGGGGCATTGGGTACTAGTGATGGGATTTCCGGCTCTTTTTAGAGAACCGGCTCTTTCAGCTCGGCTCACTAAAAAGAGCCGGCTCTTTCGGCTCCGAACCGGCTCTTGAGGTTGTTTTGTTGCTTTAATTAATTTATTATTAACAACAATATAAAATTATGCACAAAAGGCATTACGTGAATGCACCGTCACGCCAAGCTGCTCTATGAGAGAAGTACGGCCGGGTAGGGGGGAGAACACATCAGCAATGCACTGTTGCAGTGCAGCAACATCCGCTCTCTGGGCCTGTATGAGATGGTCATCACAATGGAGGGAGGTGGGAAGAGCAGCGGTTTCAGCCTCTTTCCATGCTTTAAGGAGGTTGAGGTGGTAAATCTGTGTAGCTCCTCCCCTGTCCAACCGTGCTACCTCATAGTCAACATCCCCCACTCGCCGTGTGACCACAAAGGACCCTCACCACTTGGCAAGTAATTTGGAGCTGGAGGAAGGGAGCAATACAAGCACTTTGTCTCCTGGTGAAAATTGCCTGAGCCTAGTCCCTCTGTTGTACAGGCTTTGCTGATGCTGCTGGGCCTGGAGCAGATTTTCCCGTGACAACCTCCCCAACCTGTGCAGTTTTGCTCTCAGGTCCAGCACGTATTGAATCTCATTCTTCGCGGGGCTCGACCCTTCCTCCCAGTTTTCCTTAATCAGGTCGAGCACCCCCCCAATTCCTTCAGTGTGTGAGACATGAACGACGTGCCCATGTCAGTATTTCTTTCAGAATACCGACATGGGAGATAACATGGCGAGAGAACACAGGAGCACCTCAGGGATGTGTCCTCTCGCCACTCCTCTACTCCCTCTATACTTCAGACTGTGTGGCCACCCACGGCTCCAACACCATTGTGAAGTTTGCTGACGACACAGTGGTGTTGGGTGCTATCTCCAACAACGATGAGGCGACCTACATGGATGAAGTGAAGAATCTGGCATCATGGTGCCAGGACAACCACCTCCAGCTGAACGTTGGCAAGACCAAGGAGCTGGCGGTGGACTTCAGAAGGAGTCAGCACAGAGACTACAAGCCCATTATCATCAATGGAGCTCCAGTGGAGAGGGTGCAGTCCTTCAAGTATCTTGGTGTCCACATCTCCTCAGACCTGATATGGGCTGCCCACATTCAGGTCCAGACCAAAAAGGCTAGGCAGTGCCTGTATCACCTACGACAACTGAGGAAGTTCAGGGTCTCTCCAAAGATCCTCAGGATTTTCTATACAGGCGCTGTGGAGAGCATCCTCACACAGAACATGACATCGTGGTTTGGGAACAGCTGTGTGAAGGACCAAAAAGCTCTCCAGAGAGTGATCCGTACAGCAGAACGCTGCTGCAGGATTGCTCTCCCCCCGCTTCAGGACACCTACACCAGGAGATGCCGGACTAGAGCAGCGCAGATACTGAAGGACCCGTCCCATCCTGGCAACAAACTGTTCCAACTTCTGCAATCTGGTAGAAGGTTCCGCATCATCCGGGCAAAGACAGAGAGACTCAAGAGGAGCTTCTATCCCCAAGTCATCCGGGCCCTAAACACACACACCCGCCCTCTCACATCACTATAATTGACTGAGACAGGACTCTCTTCCAGACACTCTAAACCAAGGCACAATGTACATTCCAAATTCCTTTAATTTTAAATATGCTTATATTGTCTATCCTGTAAAATAGTCAGATGTCTATTCATATTAATGTACAGAATTCACCTGCTTGCTGCTACTACTGCACATTCACCCAATGTGTGTATATATATATATATATATATATAAAACACCCAGCACGCCCCTGCGGGCGGTTTATCCCTCAAGCTCGGGTCCTCTACCAGAGGCCTGGGAGCTTGAGGGTCCTGCGCAGTATCTTAGCTGTTCCCAGGACTGCGCTCTTCTGGACAGAGATCTCCGATGTTATTCCCGGGATCTGCTGGAGCCACTCGCCTAGCTTGGGAGTCACCGCACCTAGTGCTCCGATTACCACGGGGACCACCGTTACCTTCACCCTCCACATCCTCTCGAGCTCTTCTCTGAGCCCTTGGTATTTCTCCAGCTTCTCGTGTTCCTTCTTCCTGATATTGCTGTCATTCGGAACCGCTACATCGATCACTACGGCCGTCTTCTTCTGTTTATCTACCACCACTATGTCCGGTTGGTTAGCCACCACCATTTTGTCCGTCTGTATCTGGAAGTCCCACAGGATCTTAGCTCGGTCATTCTCCACCACCCTTGGGGGCATCTCCCATTTTGACCTCGGGACTTCCAGGTTATACTCAGCACAGATGTTCCTGTACACTATGCCGGCCACTTGGTTATGGCGTTCCATGTATGTCTTGCCTGCTAGCATCTTGCACCCTGCTGTTATGTGCTGGATTGTCTCTGGGGCATCTTTACACAGCCTGCACCTTGGGTCTTGCCTGGTGTGATAGACCCCAGCCTCTATGGATCTTGTACTCAGAGCTTGTTCTTGTGCTGCCATGATTAGTGCCTCTGTGCTGTCTTTCAGTCCAGCTTTGTCCAGCCACTGGTAGGATTTCTGGATATCAGCCACCTCCTCTATCTGCCGGTGGTATACCGTGAAGGGGCCTGTCCTTCCATGATGGTTCCTCGTCTCCCTCCTCTTTCTTGGGTTTCTGCTGCCTGAGGTATTCACTGAGCACTCGGTCAGTTGGGGCCATCTTCCCAATGTATTCTTGGATGTTCGTTGTCTCATCCTGGACTGTGGTGCTGACACTCACCAGTCCCCGGCCCCCTTCCTTCCGCTTAGCGTACAGCCTCAGGGTGCTGGACTTGGGTGAAACCCTCCATGCATGGTAAGGAGCTTTCTTGTCTTTATGTCAGTGGCTTCTATCTCCTCCTTTGGCCAGCCTATTACCCCAGCAGGGTACCTGATCACGGGCAGGGCGTACGTGTTGATGGCCCGGATCTTGTTCTTACCATTCAGCTGACTCCTCAGGACTTGCCTGACCCTCTGCAGGTACTTGGTGGTTGCAGCTTTTCTAGCGGCCTTTTCATGGTTCCCATTTGCCTGCGGGATCCCCAGGTACTTGTAACTGTCCTCTATGTCTGCAATGTTGCCTTCTGGTAGTTCAATCCCCTCAGTTCTGACTACCTTCCCTCTCTTTGTTACCATCCGACTACACTTCTCCAGTCCGAACGACATTCCAATGTCATTGCTATATAGCCTGGTAGTGTGGATCAGTGAATCGATGTCTCGTTCACTCTTGGCACACAGCTTGATGTCATCCATGTACAGGAGGTGGCTGACAACTGCTCCGTTCCGTAGTCGGTATCCGTAGCCAGTCTTGTTAATGATCTCACTGAGGGGGTTCAGGCCTATGCAGAACAGCAGTGGGGACAGAGCATCTCCTTGGTAGATCCCGCACTTGATGGTGACTTGTGCTATGGGCTTGGAGTTGGCCTCTAGTGTTGTGCACCACATCCCCATTGAGTTCCTGATGAAGGCTCTTAGGGTCCCATTGATCTTGTACAATTCTAGGCATTCCAGTATCCAGCTGTGGGGCATTGAGTCATAGGCCTTCTTGTAATCAATCCAGGCAGTGCACAGGTTGGTCAGTCTGGTCTTGCAGTCTCGGCTGACTGTTCTGTCTACCAGTAGCTGGTGTTTTGCGCCTCTGGTATTCTTGCCAATTCCTTTCTGTGTCCCGCTCATGTATTGACCCATGTGCCTGTTCATCTTAGCCGATATGATGCCTGACAGGAGCTTCCATGTAGTACTGAGGCAGGTTATTGGTCGGTAGTTGGAGGGGACCGGTCCCTTCTTGGGGTCCTTGGGGATCAGGACCGTCCGACCTTCGGTTAGCCATTCCGGGTGTCTCTCGTTAACTAGCAGCTGGTTCATTTGTGCTGCCAGACGCGCGTGGAGTGCAGTCAGCTTCTTTAGCCAGTAGGCGTGAACCATGTCGGGCCCTGGTGCTGTCTAACTCTTCATACTGGAGACCCTTTCTTGGATATCTGCCACTGTGATGGTTACTGGACCCTGTTCAGGGAGGTCGCTGTGGTCTGCCCTCAGATCCACTAGCCACTAAGCATTGCCGTTATGGGTTGCGTCCTTCTCCCATATGCTCTTCCAGTATTGCTCGGTCTCCAGCCTGGGTGGTGCTGTTCTCTTATTATTATTGTTCCCTTGCCACTGAGAGTACACCTTTGCTGGTTCTGTGGAGAACAGCTGGTTTATTCTCCTGCCTTCTATCTCTCTGGTGTACCTCCTAAAGCGGCTGGCCAAGGCTGTGAGTCTTTGCTTGGCAGTTTCCAAGGCCTCAGGTATGGACAGCTTGCTGTATTTCTTATGCACCTTCTTTGTCGCACCTTTCTGCAACTCCGTTAGTTGGCTAACCTCCCTCCGTGCTATATACTACATATATATATATATATGTTCTTCCTCTACCCCCCCCCCCCCCCCCCCCCCGCCCCCCATTTTTGCACATGACGAGGAGCGTGTCAGGCTACATTTCACTGTGTGTTATACTTGTATAACTAGGCATGTGACAAATAAAGAACCTTGAACCTTGAACCTGAAACAGTGCCTGCGCCACACTTTTCGCCGAAATGGTGCGCAGCAGCACTGCTTCCAGGTATTGTATTGCATAATCCACCAGGACCAACACAAGGCGATAGCCGCGTGCTCGCCGGTGGAATGGCCCGATGAGATTCATACCAATGCCTTCAAATGGGATCTCCATCAATGGCAATGGGCGGAATGGCGCATTTGGGATGGCTGGCTGGTTAACCAGCTGGCATTCTGGGCACAACACGCACCTGTGGCGCACCCCACCCCAAATGCCCGGTCAATAGAATCGGGCCATTATACGCTCCAGAGTGTTCTCGCATCCTAAATGCCTTGCCATGGGGTTTGAATGAGCCTCCTGGAAAATCGTTTCCTGGCAGCTTTGCGACACCAACAACTGGGTAGGGATTTCATTCGTGCGAGTGTTGTGACTCACTCAATAAAGCCGATCATTCCGTAATCGGAAGTGGGGCCATCAATATCTATCACCTGGTCGTAGGCTGAGCCTAGGGTGTCGTCCCAAGACTGCTATAGTGGAAAATCTTCCATGGAGTCTATAACGGGAGGCAGTTGGGCCTCTGTAGAGGTCCCCGCCGCCTCCTTCCCCCCAGAGTCAGTGTCGGTCGACCCCGCGTCACTGCAGACATTACATCAATTTATAGGTTGCGATTGCATCTCCACGTATTGCCCCAGGAATCTGTGAAACCCCGGCCAATTTGTGCCCAAAATTAGGGGATGTGACAGGCGCGGACTGACCGCCGCCTTTACTCTAAGTGTTTTGCCCCTAAATTTTAACAGCAGCGACACTACCGGATACTTGTGAATATCCCCGTGCACACATTTCACCTCCACCCACTCTGCCTCCAGCAATGCCCTGGCCGAACCAGAATTTGGTGAACCAGGGTCTGCATGCAGCCCGTGTCCACCAAAGTGTGGCGTATACCCCCTTGACATCTTACCGGGATGTGGTACGTCCCTCCTGGACCGGGGGCGGGTGCCGGAGCCCCGGCGACGTGGAACACCTGGCCCACTTCCATCAGTCTTATATTACATTTTTAATAAAGGTGCTGCTAATGAGCAGACTCTAAATCAGGATGACGTTCAGCAGCAAGTGTACTCCCCTCTTCTTCATGGTTAGTTTTTCATGTAGTTTCAAATATTCTGATGCTATTTGCAACAAGACTATACTTAGTAAATCTGCTGCAGCTTTTCATATAAATGTTATTCAATAATATTTGTTTTTAAATTAGGTTCACAGACATGAGCTGACTGATTTTCTCTGACCTGCAGGTGATCTTTGTGTCTATGAGACAGTCAGAAGATGTGAAAACACTGAAAATGGTAAAGTATACACTTTCATTAATATAAAGCTTGTGGAAGCTGAATGATTATACAATAACTGTGTTTAACATGAAAGTCAATAAGATTATTATTTCAGGTCCAGCAGAAGGTGATTTCACCAATGTCACATCCGTGATTCAGCTCAAAGTCATTAGGAAGACAAGTGAGTGCACAAAATTTAAAATTTAAATGCAAAATATACATTGGTAATTATTCTCACTGATAGGTTTTATTTGATGTAACGGTTTTCCAAAACAGTTTTTTATTTTGATGTAATGAAAAAAAAAACAATGCATTTGAACGGGTAAAAACAAAGCTGAAAAGTAAGAAAACAAACAAACAATAAAAAAACAACAACAAAGCTAAAAAGTAAGAAAAAAAAAACATTGAGAAAATAATAGGGAAGGGAGGAAAAACAATTACTAGGAGAGCCACAATGTGTAATTCTCGTCGAGCACTTTATGAATTACAGTCCTGGTCACCTCAGTGACGCAGGCGTCAGTTTCTTGCAGCGTGGCCTCAATGTCGCGGGCGTCTCTGAGTTCAAACAGATATGCCTGGGCAACGCCTCTGACTTGAGCCGCTGGTGGTGAAAAACCCTCTAACCGCAAACTTTGCAATAATGTGTTGGTGAAATGCCCATTCCATAATCTTTTGCAGAGTTCATCATAGTACCTGAAAAAGTAATATTTTTCCAGCGGGAAAAGACAAGAATGTCGTCTCTGCGAGGGGTGGGAGACCTCACATCCTTGACAGACTTCTTGCCAGTGTTTCTGGATTAGCGAGTTAATAAGGTACTTGACAGTTAATTTTGTAAGTTAAAAAACAGTGGTGGGGAGCAGACTCGCCGCCTTGTCGTTGTCCATGGCCGAAGGCTGTCTTGCCGGGGTGGGGATCGATGTCTTCAGGCTCTCGGAAAAGGGCCCGGCATACAGGGTCGCCCAAAGCCCAGAGCGAGGCACCGGAGACTGAAGTGTTGCCGGGGGGTCTGGTCTGGGGATTGCCAACCGAGAGCGGCGAGTTGCAGATGGCTGGGTGAGTTCCAGCCTTGAGGGGATGAGGGCGGTGGCGGAGTATCTGGAAGCATAGTGGCCGGAGACGTTGAGGCTCTGAGGTGGGGTAGCCAGAGCCATCGGTGGACTCGGTGGTGGAGTAGAATCAGCTGAAGATGCAGCAGAGGGGGCTCCGAAGCTATGGTGAGTCATGATTGTTTAGATGATGTGGAGAAGAAACGAACGTTGTGGTTTTTAAAAGGACTGGGAGAGGAGGAGGCGGGGGTGGGGGAGGGGTAAAGGGGCCGGATGAGGGGCGGTGCTATGTAGAACGTGGCGGCGTTTTTCCAACTAGGACCAGTTCAATTGTAGTTTTACTCAGCTTAAAAAGCTCTAATATTTTCCCACTCTTTTCGCCCACCATCTTCAACCAGTCCTGAGTGGGAATTCGAAGCATGGTGTTGAAAACACCAGACTGGGTGTTTGAAAAGTCCAACACAAACTCTTCCGTGTGAGCATCATCGGTTGTATGATGATGCCGACTGGCTCTACAAAACCACCGACAAAATGGCGTGCTTTTAGTCTCCCACTGCGTGTATGTGACTGTTTTTCTCACCATGTTTAAAGGTCGGTGCTGATGGTGTTGCTGGTTGAATGTCGGAAATGCGTGGGCCTCTTTGAAAGCCGGATGCGTCTGCGTCTGCTGGTCCCTGGTTCGCGGTTGCTGCGAACTCGTTTGCCGCAGGCTCTTCTGAACTTCTGGGGTGACGATGAGGGTCAAAACAGCCCAGTCAGAGGAAGTAAAGGCGATCCGTGGTGTTAGCGGGCCAAAACTTTCACCTGCTTTTAGCTCTCTAAGGCTAAAGGCGTAGCCCCAAAACCCGCCGGAGCTGAGATGGAATCTCTCCTCCATTGGATTAGCATGGGCTGGCTGAACCCTACAAAGATGCAATTGTGTGAGTTCTGTTGGCATGGCGGAGGCTCTGTAGCTAGTTACTGGGGTCTGAGAGACCACAGTGAGGTTGGCAGGTCTGGTGTCCATGTTGTTTTAAGAAAAAGAGAGAAAAGTCTTTTTTTTTCTGGGAGAAAAAAAAGAGTTAAATTTAAGCTGGAAAGTTAGATTATTTATCCTGAACGAGAGCAAGAGATTGCACCTATCGCAGATAAGGTAAATCAGACCTGTATCCGATTGGCTAACCAGGGTGCGGCGGTAGCCGCCCACTTGTTATGTGATTGGCAGCGGGGCGAAGTTAGGCACGCCTCGGAGGTGGAGTTGGTCTCCCTCTTTGAACGAAGAGCCAGAATCATTAAGGAGCAGATACAGAGCGAGTAACAAGGGGAAAAAATTGTGCGCTGGCTGTGGCTTGGTGCGAGTAAGAGGGACGGAGAACTTAGGCTGTGCGCTGAATTTGGGACGGAGCTAGTAAGAGGGCTGGTTTGAAGAAAAAAGACTAAGGATTTTTTTCAGGAGTATTGCCTGTTATCGAATATAAGGTTTTGGGAATAGAGGGTTCCCTAAGAAGTTATTCTAGGAGTTTTTTGTTGCGCGTATTTGGATAAAAACACGGAGGTTTTTTTCAGGAGGTTTCCTGCTTGTTTGCCTAAGGGTTGGGTGGGAGCCGCGGTGCGCTGAATTTGAGAAAAAAGACTAAGGATTTTTTAAGGGTTTTGGGAATAGAGTGGGAGTGCCTATCGAGTTATTCTAGGTTTTTTTTGTTGTTGTGCATTTTTTGGAGAAAGACGGAGGATTTTTCAGGAGGTTTTTGCTGGGAGCTGCAGTGCGCTTATGCTTGGGGTAGTTTTTTGGGGATCGTGAGAGTTTTTTGCGACTCGGACTTTGATTCTAAATCTCCTTGTTCGGATTAAACAAATGCAAATAAATTGAAATAAAGTTTTCCAACAAGGCATGCAACCTGTATCTCCCGGCATACTGAACTAGGGCTGCCACAAACGATTGTTTTGATAGTCACCGATTATTTTTGCAATTAGTCGACTAATCAGATCATGCATCCATTGGACGTAAAATGTACAGCTTATTGCACCGGCATACATCTGCTCTTATATAACTATCATTAGCTTACAGCTTTAAGTGTTTAAGGTATGTGCTAACTAAAAATAAAGACAAGATGATAGTTTATTAAATTTTAATGAAATTTGCAGATTGTTTCGGTGAGTTTAATAAACTCCTTGCTATCTAAAATATAACGGGACACCGGAGTATATTCTCGAGCATCTCACACTTCTGATAATCAGTTGTCTGCTTGACGTTTATTCAGCTGTGTAAAAACTATAACTTTAATCTCAGCCAAACCGATTTACTCAGGAATAAATAAAATCCTAAAAAAAAAGCCAAACAATAACATTTTAAGTTATCTAAGTGACTTAAATATGTTTAACCTGAGTAGCGAAAGACGGCGGTAGGTTTGAAAACGATTTGCCCGGAGTCCGGGGTTCTCACCGGCTCTAGTGAGCTTTGCCCCCGGCTAGCTATTGAGCTAGCGGGTAACAGACGTCGGAGCGCTTTTGAAAATATGTGGTGTCTTGATAAACTGAGCAGATATTTGAGGTTTACACAGTTACATTCTTGCCTGAAAATATGTTAAATGTTTATTTTGTGACCCAGAAAGAATAATAAGAGTAATATTAAAACTAACTAGCTGCCGCCATTGTTGGAAACTGAGCTGGGCTGCGCTATGAATTCTGGGACACAGCTTCTTCTTCTTCTGGGTTTAACGGCAGCTGGCATCCTTGTACATACAGTGCTGCCATCTTCTGTTTCAGTCCGTTATTACACTCTTAAATCCTACTACTTATTCCTGCGTCTTTTGTGATCTTACAAAGCTTCAAACGACGCGTCGACTATTAAATCAGTCGTCGGCGATTTTGATAGTCGACGTAATTGTGACTAGTCGACTAATCTTGGCAGCCCTATACTGAACGTTACAAAAGCACAAGTTTAACTAAGCACTTTTACTCTGGTTTAAGACATTTTCACACACACACACACAAGCACGGACCCTGACACAGGCGCGTGCATGGGCGCGCACAGACACACAGGCGCGGAGCGCGCACGCGCGTGCACATGCACTGACCCACCACCAGATGGCGTTTTTTAAGCATAAAAAGTAAAAAACTTTTTAATGGCTTAAAATTAAAGAATGCTATTTGATATAAAAGCTTTATTTTTTAATAATCAAATTATTTTTTTTATTTTTTTGGAAATAATGAGTTATGAACTACCATAATTTGCTGAATATCATAATTTGCTGAATATCATAATTATATTAATATCCAGAGGTGGGTAGTAACGAGTTACATTTACTCCGTTACATTTACTTGAGTACGTTTTTGAAAAAAATTTACTTTTAAAGTACCTTTGTTGCACGATACTTTTTACTTTTACTTGAGTACATTTGTGAAGAAGAAACGGTACTTTTACTCCGCTACATTTGCAAAATTCGACTCGTTACTTTTAAAAAAATGATTAGTTTAACACATTAGATAACATGCCGCCAGTGGAGTTTCCGGTAACTTTTTTACCAATCAGATGTGGCTATGCAGTCACATGACCAGTTTGAAACTGTGCCGGGCAGTGCAGCCCAAACGTTTCAAAGAAGAAACATGAAAACATGGCAGAGCCAATTGTCTACGCTAGAGCTGAAAAGGATGAACACCCTTGGCCTCATATACAAAGAATGTTTCGCATAAAAGCAGTACAAAAGAACAGCTATGTCTTCAGTGTCGGTGTCTTCAGTGAGAGCCAAAACAACAACTTTTCAGCGTGAAACAACTCAACTCATGTAACCTGAGGAAGCGGTAAGTTTTCTCTAAATATCTTTTTAGCTGTAGTTAGCTGGATGTCAGTCTTATGTTACAGCAGCTGTGTTGAGCTCGAGCTGCGAGTCATATTTTCGGCGCTACGTTGTAGTGAGACAAATTTGTGGGGTTTTTGTGCAGCTTCGGCTGTCCTTTTAACTGCTCGCTGGTTAGCTAGCGTGAGCTATAAGCTAACAGCTCGCCTAGTTAATGACGCTGGAGTTCCACGCGCATGCAAACAGCTCGTCTCTACTGCTTTAACTGTTAAAACAGAAGGCAATACTGCGGCTAGCAGGATTTATTATGTGAAAAAGCAGCTTGTTTAGTTTAAACAGTCTGCATTAAGCTGGGCAAA